AAAATCTCGCCCCACCCCCCTCATTTCACAACCTGACTATAATGACCTCTTCTTCTCCATCCCTTCCTCCTTTCAAGTCTGTTAAGAATGTTACTGTTAAAATCACTTTCTTGGGGCTCTGACCATGTCAGCCTCCCCTGGGCATCCCTCTGCCGGCTCCCCTTGCACCTCCTCATCAGATACAAACCCCTTGGCTTTCCCAGTAAGGCCCTTTGTGAGTTAACTCTGCCCTACCTGGCTGATCTACTGAGACTGATCCCCATGGTCACTTTGCCAGTATTCCCACCACCACCAGTCAGTTTCTCCCTTCAGCCCTGCGTGCTGCCTCCCACACTTCCCTCTGTGCATGGGAAAAACACCCAGGTAAAATCCAAACTGCAACTGCCTCATCCTCCTCCAGTCCCCTCACCCATGCCATGAGGCCTCCCAAACCCAGCCTGCTGATCACAGCCAGGCAGGTGACAAGCTGTGGCTGTCTCTCTTTCCCATTCTTCCCTTCTCCTGCTCCTGTCCTCCCCCTCCCCCCACAACCTCCTAACCCCGCTGAGAAAGCTCCTTGGAGCTAGCAAACTGAGCCAGTTCTTCCCCAGCCTCACTGCTTGTCTGTTGTAGCCCCATTGCTCACCCTTCGTTGGCTGCTGCTTTTAGATCATAAGCCCGTCAGGACAGGGAGTTGTAGAGAAACAGGCCTCTCAGGCTACTGATGGCCAGTCCCTTGGCTGCGGGATGCAGCACCTTTCCTTCCCCTTCTGAGAGCCCTTCAGGTCTCTGTCCCGTTCATCTTCTGGAGATCCTCTGCCATGGGAAAGGGTCTGAGACATGAACAGGGCAGGGCTGATAAACATATTGATGCTAATTATAATATTTGCCCTCTCTCTAGGAGCTCAGTCCCCTATTCGTTTTGAAGGATGGTAGAGGGCAATGAGGGCACACACAGAGCCCTCTGCATGGGGGAAGTGGGGAACCTTGATATGGGGGAAATGGGGCACACACAGAGCCTCTGGCATGGAGAGGGGGAGAGTGGAGGACTGGTAGCGGTATGGGGGTTAGAGGGCCATGGGTCAAGAGAGAATGGGGAGCATGTAGAGATCCCACGGGGGGGGGGGAATGTATGGGGAAGGAGAACATGGGGGACATGCCAAACCCTGGCCATGTGGCAGTTGGGGAGGAATGTGGGGCACATAGAGTCCCAGACATGGGGTAAGAACTCGGGAGTCTGGGAGAGAGAAGAATGGAAGATACGTGGAGCCCCTGGCATGAGGACGGGGGATTGCAGGATGTCCCTGAAAGAGGCGGATGGGAGTGTTGGTGTCACTAGGCATAGCTACCAGGTAACTCAGGGGAGTGGAAGGCCATAAGTGCCAATGAAACTCCTTTGCTCTGGGTCTAAGTGAGCCACAGTGACTCCATCTTGAGAACTTTCACCTACTTCTGTGCTAACTGCTTACATGCTGAAGCAGAAATGTAAGGGTCAGCTTTTCTAGCAGATAGCTGCTGTTTCGTTCATACTAACAAGGTCAAAGATAAGCAGACAAATGGGAATTTTTCTAACTGTAACTGCTCGAGAAGGGAAGGGTGGGAGAGGTAAGAGGGAGTAACAGACAAAGGCTTACACAGAAACTGCTTGGAATATAAAATGGAACATGTGCTAATATGTGCTGCGCTTGATTTGAGACGTGTTAGTCTCCTAGTGCCTATTCAGAGCTCTTGAATAAAGTTGGTTTTGCTTCTCCACACCTGGTGTGTCTATTAGTGCTAAGCACACCGGGCAACGAACCCCGCTGTTTGCCTCCTCGGGCCCATCTGGGCCGGCAACAGGAGGGTGGCACACAGGATGCTTTCAGGGGCGGGCGAGGGGGAATGGAGGGAATCATGGAGCCCCGGTGTGTGCAATGTGCTTAGCCTAAAGAAGCTACAAACCATGCAGCCCCTGACAATCGTAAAGCACTTGACAAATGCTAATGAGAGAAGCCCCCTATAAGTGTCCCTCATGTTACATGTGGAGAAACTGAGGCACAGAAAGATGAAGTGACTTGCCCAAAAGTCACATAGGAAATGTGGGTCCAAGCTGGGAATAGAATCCCTAGCCTCCCAGTGCCTCCTCGTGTTCTCACCCCCTGTCCTGGCCATTCAACTCCACCTATTTCTGTTTTTCTCTTTCCCCTTCTTTCTTCTGAATTGCTGCAACATTTTGTCCTCCTGGCCTTCCTGTTGTGTAGAGGCCTGCACCGTATTCAGGACAGCAAAGTCCAACTCAGCCTGTGACCGAAACATTTTTTTCACACAAAAGGGGGACATAGAATGAATTAGTCCAAACACAAAGGTCTGCTGATTCTACTGAAGGGCTCTTTAGAGATTATGAGGGGTAAACAAGGGGAGAATGGCATCAGAACTTCATGAAATTATATTGGTGTGTTGGAAATTAGGTCTAATTGGTGGACAAAATAATGAGGGGATGGGCTATCCATTTATCGCCCTCATTTGGGATTCTTTAAAAAGAGATTTGGGGGCATCAAAACAGGGGGATGGGCGGATTGAAAGGAATGAGCTTCACCATTCTGGCTGCCACCCCCGCTCTCCACCGTCTCCTGGGACCCCGGAATCCACCATGCCATTGTTAAGCTGTCATCGTCCTGGTCCTGAAAGGCGTCCTAACCACACCAGGACACAGAAAGGGAACTGATCACTTCGCCACCCCACCAGCTTCAGCTAAGTCCTGAACAACACCTGGAATGTGACCCTTGGTTGCCTCCTGTCCCTCCCTCCCTCGGATGTCCTTTTCCTTCGCCATCTGAGTTTTTTCTCTTTCCTTTCACTCTCGTTTGCCTTCTGTTTACTAACAGGCTGGTTTAGCTGGCCAAGACTGTCTCTTTCGCAGCACTGCTGTGAGTGCATGACCAGGGAGGCAGCTAAAAGCAATGTCTTAAACAGCCTGATGCTGGTATAAGTTTGTCAGGTCTTGTCCCAGCCATGCCTGTTTTCGACAATAGTGAGGCTGCAAGTGAGAGTCAACACCACAAACAGAAACTGCATTTTCTATCTTTGCTGTTCTTTTCTGTCCCCTTTTGGGTGTGTTTGTCTTGTTTTGGCTTAAAGGAAACAGGATCAGACTTCAACAACAGCAATAACTGCAGCTGCAGCTAGGGTAGCCAACACTGAATTTCAAAAATAAGGGGCTGTTTTCTTAGCACCCCTGCCCCACCCTGCCTCCATATATATATAAATAAAATTAATAATAATTAATAAGCAGTACTCACCTACATTCGCCAAGGGTATTTCTTGCTGCTTTTTGCAGCCCTCAGCAACTCCTGATCTATTGTACAGAGATAAAAAAAATAAGGGACGTCCCTTGGAATAAGGGACTGTTGGCAACCCTAGACTCTCAACTGTTTCTCTTTTCCTCACAAAGGACAGTTAATACCATCTAAGGACCAGGGGTGGCTCTATGTATTTTGACGCCCCAAGCATGGCAGGCAGGCTGCCTTCGGTGGCATGCCTGCGGGAGGTCCGCCGTTAACGCGGATTTGGTGGCATGCCTGCGGGAGGTCCTCCGGACCCGCAGCTTCAGCGTACCCGCCGCTAAATTGCTGCCGAAGCTGTGGGACTGGCGGACCTCCCTCAGGCGTGCTGCCGAAGGCTTGGGGCGCTGGTGGCTGGAGCCACCCCTGCTAAGGACAGTCAGACATGGGGGGTTCCTATAAAAGCTCCCTACAGCAAAAGAGAAAGGGAAGAAGAGATATTGTTAAAATGAAAGCCTCATTTAGTATTTTACATTTGAAATGCTTTAACTGTTTTTCCTTCTTTTTCTGTACCTTTAGTAAAAGAATACACAGATTTTTAATGGTGGTTGTTGCCATGGAATTAAGCAGGCCAAGGACTCTGTACTCAAAACCCCAAACAATGTTTACCTGTTTAGTGTAGTACAATGACCGAACCATGATAACACATTCATCTCTCTGGTTCATTTTATTCCATGAAAATTAACATAATACTTCCCAGTACCCATAGGAAACAATCTCTCTCCAACAAGGGCCCCGTGAAGAACTGAGGGATGCTGGTTGGCTGAAGTGGAGAGAAGAGACTAGAGTTTCCTGGGAGATAAAGAAATATCTTTGTTTAATTTGGTGATCCCCATTTCCATAGCTTCCAAAGGATCAGGGTTTCCCAAATTGAACTCTACAGAGTTGCTTCTGCTGCAGTAGCCATCAAATATCAGACACTCAGGCTTTCTGCTAGGCCAGATCTAGCTATTCTTAGGACTTCCAGTGTTTTTTTCAAAAGACCTCCAAAGCCCTTTCTGGTAAAGAGGCCCAATTCTGAAAGCAGGCCCTCAGGTGGGGCCTGTCCAAGGCTGAATGCAAAGGTAGTGTTGGGACTCAAGGGCCCAGACCTGAGCAGAGTATCCAGGTGGAGTCTCCCGAAGAGCCATACAGAGAGGTGTTATCCCCTCCTTGCTCCAGGACATGAAGCCTCAGAGATTGAGGACCCCAGAGTGGAGCACAGTAACTCTGCTGATGTCTCCTCAGAGCCACATAGAGAGGAACTATTCCCTCACTACTCCAGAACGTGTATGGAGAATTCAGGACTGGGAGTAGCATGCTGGAAAGGAAGGTGTCTGTGAGACATCTATGATTGACAAGTACATCTCTGCTGTAAATCCACTGACCTCCCTGGACTTTGTGTATGTTGCACAATATGACTAAGTTTGAAAATCTGGCCCTGAGGCAGGTGAATGCGAGATGAGTCACTCCCCTCAGCTTGATTCCTAGACCTGGATCTGTGAAACAACCACTTCTCCTTGACAGCAGCTGCCAGTGAGGATCCAGCCAGTACAGCTGTGGCTCATATAAAGGTCCCAGATGCTGCAGTGAGGTAGCATGAACCACAGCTTTTAAAAGGCCTACAGCTATTAGCATGGGAGTGAGGGGGGAGATGGGTCACTTTAGTTGGGAACCTAGGTCTAGTCTGAGAAGAAAGGAGACTGCACACACAGGGAGGTTATTGGGTGATCCTTTAATGCAGTTAGATATTGTGAGTGATACAGAGAATACATGAGTCAGAAGTCAGTGAGCCGCTGTTGTCCCAGTGAGGAGAAGGAGCAGCCCCTTTTCTATTGGTTGGCCAGGCTCTGAACCTAGTCCTTGTGGACCAGCAATTACCCTCTATTGCCCCCACTGATGGGTTTCAGCCTCAGAACTATCATGCGGGTGGGGCATGGCTAGCTTCTCTCTGAAAACCAGGAATTTGAGCAAAGAATGTGATGGGTAAAGGTAAAAGGGGTCCTCTTTACCCAGCATGCTCTCTGTTCCTGCCCTGGCAATTCCAGTGGAGGAAGGAAGAGAGATGCCCCTCGCTGATGTAGTTACAATGGAATAGATAACCCATTGTTTCTGACTCCCTAGTCTGGCACAGCCACAATGCAGTTGGGCTGTTGCATAAAGAGTAGATGGGATCAAAGGGCAGCCAATCTGCTGGGACATGTGACCTCAACACCTGGTGAGATGGCAGTGCCCTAGGGTGAGAAGGATCTATCTGTGTGATCCCTCTGCCGCCTTGTATCGGCTCATGGTCCCCAAGATCCAGTCCCGGTAGCGCCCCACTCTGGTGTAAAGGCCATATGTGCCACACCGTGGTCCCCAGGAGACCAGGCCACCCACGTAGTACTGTCTGTCATTGTGGGGGTCTTTGATGGCATAGGCTCCGCCACCGTCCCCGGAACAGCTGTCCTTTGTGCCATCTCCAGCACAGACCATGTTGTCAGTGAATTGGAAAGTGGTGGGATCAGCAGGTGGCTTCAGCTTAACACTACGGCATTGTGCCATGTCCACCACAGGGATCTGTGCCTTCATGAGATGGTAAACTCTGTTTCGGTCCTCTGTCCGGCCCCAGCCAGATATGTAGCCCAGTCTGCCTTTCTCCAGCTCATATTCAGGGGAACCACCAGGGAGGCAGAGAGGTGAGATCTTGGGGCCCATCTTCACAGGCGCCGTCAGCCTCAGCAGTGCAATGTCATTATCAAAATTTGTCCGAGCTTCTGGGTTTACCACCTTTGTCCAGTTAGGGTGAATGAACACTTCTTCTTCAAACAGCTGTATGGGCTCCTCCCTCTGGAGCTGTTGGTTGATGTTGGTCACCCCAGCATACATTCTGGGCTTGCTATTTGAATCATCCAGCACATGAGCTGCAGTCAGCACCCAGAGGTCCGAAATAAGTACCCCACCTCCCCGTGGGTTTTGGAATAAGACCTGCCAGGGGAAGTTGCCTGGCTTAGCACGGGTGCCCCCAAAAATCCTCTGCAGCTCCTGGATGGGTGTACTGGGGATCCCACAGACTAGAAGGGAAATAAAAAGGGAGAGACGCAATGGGAGAATTACCACTTGCAAGTAGGGGGGTTGACTGTGCATCACTAAAAACCCCATAGTCCCCTCTCTCCTGTCTCCTTGACATCACCCTGGTTCAGAGTAGCCTCTTTCCATGGCATTTCTATGTCAAATAATCTGCATCCAAAGTTTACAGAAAAGAAAAACTAAGGAACAGTGTTGTCAAACGATTAAAAAAATAATCACAATTAATTGTGAGTTTAAAAAAATAGTCACAAATAATCGCAGTTTTAATTGTGCTGTTAAACAATGATAGAATAGCAATTTAAATATATTATAAATATTTTGGATGTTTTTCTACATTTTCAATATATTGATTTCAATTACAACACAGAATACAAAGTGTACACTGCTCACTTTATATTATTATTTTTGTTTACAAATAGTTTGCACTGTAAAAAAGATAAAAGAAATAGTATTTGTCAATTCATCTCATACAAGTACTGTAGTGCAATCTCTTTATCGTGGAAATGCAGCTTACAAATGTAGAATTTTCTTTTACATAACTGCACTCAAAACCAAAACAATATAAAACTTTAGAGCCAGAAGTCCACTCAGTCCTACTTCTTGTTCAGCCAATTGCTAAGACAAACACGTTTGTTTATATTTACTGGAGATAATGCTGCCTGCTTCTTATTTACAATATCACCTGAAAGTGAGAACAGGCATTCGCATGGCACTGTTGTAATATAAAGTGAGCACTGTACACTTTGTATTTTGTGTTGTAAATGAAGTCAATATATTTGAAAATGTAGAAAAACATCCAAAAATATTTATAATAAATTTAAATTGGTATTCTATTATTGTTTAACAGTGTGATTAAAAGTGCAATTTATCGCAACTATTTTTTAAAATTTCAATAATTTGTTTTGCGTTAATCGCTTGAGTTAAATGCGAATAATTGACAGCCCATACTAAGCAAATTTGGAAATAAAAAGTTTGTTAACATCAGTGAAGTATAAAAATGCCCATCCTTAAATTGTTCACATTGCTGTTGAAGTCATGTTGGTTGAAGAAGAACTCAGTGTAGCTCAAAAGCTTGTAGCTTCCACCAACAAAAATGGGTCCTCACCCATCTTGTCTCCTATGCATCCTCCAATTCTAATGTAAGAACTCAAGAAATTCACAGTTAAAGTCATTCAAACAGGCTCAGTTCTGCTCTTTTATCACTGCCAAGCTCATATTGTCCATCATTCTTGTTTTGCAATATATTCCCTTAAATGAAGGATTTCTTTGTGAAGGAGTTTGGTAAAGGTCTTAGAAAGAATTAAATCAGACAAACCCACTCTTTTGGAGAATTTATACATGGACTCTAGATAGTCTGAAGCATAATGCACTGGTTTTACACATACTGTAGTTGTCTTTGATCTTTTGCCATCACACTCTTCCCTGCTCGTGGTGTGTAAATCCTATAGTGTAGGGGCGTTGGTTAGGAGAGTCACAGGCAATGAGTCTCATGGATGCAGTGAAGCTGTGTGTTCTTTGGGGATAAAGTTGTCTGTGAGATTCAGCTTATTCACTTGCATCTGAAGAAGTGAGGTTCTTACCCACGAAAGCTTATGCTCCCAATACTTCTGTTAGTCTTAAAGGTGCCACAGGACCCTCTGTTGCTTTTTACAGATTCAGACTAACACGGTTACCCCTCTGATACGTAGCTTATTCAGTGATAATTCAAGGGCCCACACGTAAGGCTGCTCACATTACGATAATCTGTGAAGTTTGTGACTTTCCATCTTTTGTGGATTTTATTCAATTAAAGTTAATGTCCCTCGTTTAGAATGTTAGGTTGTACAATTGCCAGACTACAGTGTCAAACTTCACTGAAACTTAATTCATTGTTCTGTCATGGAATTTCCTTAGTTTTATTTTTTAAAACATGTTTCAGGAGTTGCCCTTTGACAGGAGTCTATGCAGAAATTGCAAGGTTCATGTCACAGAGTGGGCTGACCCTTTCAGGGGGGCTGGCTCAGCCCCACCAGTGCCTATTTATCCACCACCCAGATGGTGAGTTTGAGCTGGACCTGGGGGTTGGTTCAGGTGACCAGGCATCATATACCTGTAGCGACGAGGTGGTGCTTCCTATCAGAGGGAGCCTGGTGAATGAGTCACAGGTGAGAGACCTACAGGAGACCCAGAGAGCACTAGGGAAGAAGCTCTCCATACTAGCTAGAGGGAAAGGCCTGGCTGGAGCTAACTGCAAAAAGGGGCAGGAGCAACTCCCCCTTAAGGGGCAATTAGAGGTCCTGAGAAAGGATATTCAAGTTAGTCTGGCCAGGAGAGTATTGAAGCGTATTTATGCTTTCTTAGGGTCTAGGCTGGGCTTTCCAGTGAAGGTGGGTGAAGTCCCCTGTCTATTGCCCTGCTCCAACAGCACATAATGGATTGCTGAGCCCAGGAGGGGGCTACAAGTGAAGTTACATACAAGAGAGAGTGAAAAGTTTATGTGGTCTGGTGAGGATGCACCTGACTAAACTGGGGAAGACCCAGCGTGAGTTGCTGGACATCTATTTTGGTTTTTAGACTTTTTTTGTTTACCTGCTGGAAGGGGATGAATTTTAATTTGTTTGAAGGGCTAAAACATGAGAACCAGCATAGCCAATAGTAGGGAAACTGAGGTGGCAGCAGGGTCCAATATTGGCTGTGGTGAGACCCTGTTCTGGTTCACTAGAAGACCGGTAGAGCTTATGTACTTCCCAGTTTTCTTCTGCTGCCCCCTCTGATCTTTCTCAGGAACCCACTGATCTCAGAAACATCCGATCTAATGTGACTCAAATTACCCAGTCAAATTCTACCCTGGAAAAGGAAGCAGCAATGTTTCAGGCAGATTGGTTCAGCTTTCTTTAAATTAGAGAGAAGTGGTGGAGAGAAAACTGACTTATAATGGTGATTGGGTCACCACAAAACACACACACACACACACACAAAGTTCTTTGTGATACCTGGGAAACACGCTGGAAGCTCTGTTCCCATCTCTTCGCTCACCCATTTCCCGCTGGCTGAACACTGATAAATCACTTGGAAAACACACAGAAGCATGGAAAGGATTTCAGTACAAAACATCATGAGAATGTGACCAACGACTCTGGGGAACTGGTTTTCTTAGATTCTGTGGCCAGAAGGGATGACTGTGATCACCTAGTCTGATCTCCTGCAAAACACAGGGCACAGGACTTCCCTTAATTTATTAATTCCTGTGTGAGTTACAGCAGATCTTTTAGGAAAACATCCAATCTTGATTTTAAAATGGTCAGTGATGGAGAATTCACAATGGCCCTTGGTCAGTTGTTCCAATGGAATAGTTTCCCACCCTGTTAAAAATTTGACTTATTTCCAGTATGAATTTGTTAAGCTTCAATTTCCAACCATTGGATCTTGTTATACTTTTGTATGTGAGACTGAAGAGTCTACTATCAAATTTCTGTTCCCCATGTAGGTACTTATAGACTGAGATCAAGTCACCCGTTAACCTTCTCTTTCTTAAGTTAAATAGATTGAACTACTTGAGTCTAACACTATATGGCGTGTTTTCCAAACTTTTAATCATTCTCATAGCTCTTCTCATCATCAGGGTCGTAGTCGGGATGCACGGACACACTGCAGACGGGGTGGTTACCCATCTCGTGGATCTTATTCACCTCTGTGTGGCCAAGGAACACGTCGATCTTCTCAGCCACCTCGGCAGGGCTCATCCTAACACCTGTCTCTATCACTGAGCTGTGTTGCTTGGGGTAGATGGTGTGAGCAGCTGTCAGGATCCAGCGGTCACCTAGCAGCGCCCCACCCCCAAGCCCAAAGATGTGTGTCTTCGCCTGCCATGGGAAGCTTCCCGGCGGTGCTGTGCTGCCACCAATGATCTGCTGGATTCCAGTGATGGGATTGTCGGGCTTCCCACACACTGTGGGGAGGGACAGGAACCAAAGAGGCTGTTACATGCTCTCTTCTCCTGCTCTCTCTCTCGTCTCCCCATACCTTTCAGTTCCCTGCTTCCCTGCTCTCCTGCTGCCTTTCCATCTGGATTTCTCCATCTCCTGCACTGCCACCTCCCTCACAGACAGTCCAACATTACTGTCAGCTCCACTTCTCCATCTCTCTCCCTCTCTCTGCTTGTCTCCCTTGGTTCGTGCTGACTCTGAAGGCAT